AAAAATCTAGATAGATATAGAGTGGCTTGGCTAATTGTCCTTCATATTGATCCTGCTACTTTTGCCAAAGTGTGTGCGTATGTGCGTATGTTCGTTAGCGTCTATGCGCAATACCGGTCCTGAATCAGAGTGATCAAAAGGCTAATGTCAGGCTCTGATCATCAACGCTTAGTGACCCAAGTGAAAGCCCTGACCGATGCCGCGTAAATCTGTAACAGAGTATGGTTGAGATAATGAGATGCAAGCTTGTAAGCATGTAAGTCAAGTTGCGAAGCCACTTGTCTTAACCTATCAATCTAGGGGCATTAAGGCTTAACCACCCGATGAAAGGAACGACTTGGGCTGCGTAATCTGGCACGTCTGGTTCAGTTGATGAGCTTAATCTAACATCGAAGCTATGAAGACCAAGATGGTATTGCCTTTTGTGTGGTCGCAGTTTCCTTTCGTTGTATAGAAGTTGCGAAAACAAGGTCAAACAACTTCTTTAATCTAATATGTTGGACGAGTGTGAGCGGAGTTAGAACCATCACTGAACAAATCAGTTTAGTCGCCTTCTTTTGGATGGTGGCGGATTCCTCTTAATCAGCTGTCGATTGGCTTTGCTTGAACATTCATGTTGACGATGTTTTCGAGATAATCTCCTTTGATTCTGGTGAAAACGTGCTAAGCTTTCATCCGTCATATGACGAACATCATCAGAGCAAGGTTTCATACTTACAACCAAATTCAAGTTAACGAGTCAAAAAAACTCACCGGCACATCCCTAAAAAGCTGTATATATACTCTATGTCTGACCTCTTTGATGAGGTATAAAGTCATTTGGTTAGTTCCAGTGATATGTCAACCTCGAAGAATGTGAGTGTGCCTATCGCTGTATGCGTGTTTGCCTGTATGTATTCGCCTATGCACGAAACCAGCAGTGATGGGTCCAAGTAATTAGGAGAGCAGAATTAACGTCTGTTCTCGGCCATCAAGGTTTGATGACCATTCTCTCCCCTTTTCTACATACATGTTATAACCATCACTATGACTGTGCAAGGTCGGACACACGTCAGGTTATGTTGATGAGCTTTTTTGTTTTTGACGAGAGAAAAAGAGTGAACTAAAAGTACAAAGAAGTGAGTATGATTAGAACAAAGACAAGAAAAGACTCGAGCAGAAAGAGGGAGAGTGTCTATCAATCTTTGATGGCCGAGAATTGACGTTACTTTTGCTGTCCCAATTACTTTGAGCCATCACTGCTGGTTTCGTGCATAAGGGAACACAAACAGACACATACACATACAGAAACAGACATATTCACAGACTTCGAGGTTGACATATATCAGTAACTAACCTAATCATTTGATACCTCATCAAAAGAGGCCAGACATAGAGTATATATAGAGCTTTTTAGGGATTCGCTTGTGAGTTTTCCTGACTCGTTAGCTTCGATGCTACCTTGCTCTGATGATGCTATCATATGACGGACGAAAGCTTAGCATCTTTTCATCGGAATCGAAGGCGGTCACCTCGGAAACAGCGTAAACATAAATGTTCCAATAAAGCCAATCGA